TAAGCAATAACACCTATCTTAGACGGCCACCTTAGTGACTCCATTACGTTTTGTTATAAATTGTGCATTGGCCCCTGGCGTTGTGGGCAAGCCGTCATGATCCAATCACTTGTCGTTATTGTTAGGTAGTCCCTCCAACCGATCATGTTGCGTCCCACTATTGACCAATAGGTACCAATTTTCAGCTGTTGGTGAGCTAAGCGTGTGATCCCTCATAACCTATAAGCCCCGTCCAGAACTCGTACACAAATCAGAAGTGAGATGAGTGGTCACGGTTTACCCAGTCTGTAACAAAGTAACAATGGACGTCAACATGAGCTTGCGACAGAAGCGTCACTCGTTCTCCGATTAGTGGCGACCAATGTGTTTGTTTTAACACGGCACTCGGTCTTCCTCCTCTGATACATTTCGTTTTATTGTCACCCTTGCGCAAAATCACCAACAAAATAAAAATATTTTTAAAAAAACAAACCAACAACAACAAGAGCAACAACAAGAGCAATAACAACAATGCGGCTACTTTCGATTGGGACTTCAGATGGGAATGGGTTGTTTTCTTCGTCCTGATCAGTCCTGCCTAAGATGGCCTCCTGTATAATACGGCCACTTTTCTCCTTGACAATGGGTGGCCATCTAACACAGGTTTGACTGTATTTTGAAAGGTCATTCACAACTGAAGGAAATAAGACTATTCACAGCTTGAAGACAGAATTACACATACTTTGATTGTCGGCTGTAGTCTGGACCCTTCAAAGTTCTCTTCCCATCCCTCTCGCTGCAGGAAGTTTGGAGTAGCTAGTACCAGCTATATCTATATGACACTGAAGGGAATAAGGCTCAGGAAATTTTCCTTAAAATTCCCTTACTCACTCCAGTTCACAGAGGGGCTTACAGCGATGCAGCCTGCTAAACGCAAACCAGTATCCTTCCCTTATTTTGACTCTCTTGACTATCAAGTATTGATCTGCAGTTGGCAAAGTGAAGAGAAAATATGGGATTCGGTTTTTTGTTTTAGTTAGTATTTTACTGATCTTGCAACACAATAAGGTCACATAAGAGCTGAAGATTAGAGATGTTACAAGAGTGTAACAAAAACAAAAAAGAAGGAGGAGAGATAAGGACGATAGATGTTTGATGGGAAAGAAGGAGCAGACCACATCAGAGAACCCGCCAACCACTCACAAAAAATACATGAAAAGTACCTTTACAACAAAAACACTAGAGAGAAAGAATCAGGAATGAGAACTCAGTTTCCAATACAACAACAGAAAACAATTTCTCTGAATAACAACAAACCTTAGGGCTCTGCAGTAGGTAGACTGACACTCTACATCCTGCACCACCATCAGCTGGTTGGCCACAAACGAGGGCACTTCAAGGTCGAGAATGGCTTCGCAGTTGGCCCGCTCCTGCGCCAGGTTGGCCAGCGCTCGAATGGCACGGTTGTGAATGCTGGCCTCCTCCGACGCCTTCGCCACTCGCACTGTCAACAAAAATGTTGGTCCACAAAATGAGGATCTTTTCAAATTGATCCCTCCCAGTTTCACACCCTTGTCAAACAGACTCGTTTGTTTTAGTAGACGTTTTACGGCGCTCGCAACTAAGAGCGCCAATGGGTGGATGTCAACAGAGAAGTCCTTACAAGGAATCAGGCTTACTCTGCTCACCGCTCTAGCGTCAACAGCCCAAAGTCTGCTTCGACTATCAAGGCACCCCGGAAATAGCAGGTCACAAGAGTGTGACAAAAATACAAAAGAATTAGAAGAAAAATGACGATAGTAAGGATTAGGAAAGAAAAAGCAGCAGTTCCGTGTTGCAGTTCAGGCACAGTTATGAGCATGACATTGATGAATCAAACCATTTACGATTTTACTGTGCATAAGAACAGGTTAATGTCCCCCCTTTGGGAATGGCATAAACACACTTCAGTCAGTAGCACCACACCATGGGGTGTCAAAAATACTGTTGGTTACCAAGATCAAGAAGGCAAAAAAATCCCTCCATTATAGTCTTGTCTCAGATAATTATAGTAGAGGCTTTGAGAGAGAACAGCATCTCCATTGTTTCAGCTTAAACACCCCCACCCCCCACCCCAAAGGCTATGGAGGTATAAGAACTCCACTGCAGCTTAGCCCTACTATAAATAATCATAGACAGTTTCAAAGCTCATGTCAAGTTACCTACCTGCATCAAAGTCATACAGCTTGACAAATAAAATGATGATATGACTCACATCAAGATCGAGCTTCAAAATTTTCATAGGCATTTTAATTAACTATAAACAGCAGCTGCTTGTATTTTGCTGTTTGCAACAGCTGACAAATATATCATTCAGTCGAACCTTCTCTAAGGGCCATCTATCCAAGACAACCACCTGTACAAACAACCACTTCCCCCTCTTCGCCTCTTGTCCTTTTTCAATACTATAATGACACTGTCTGAGACAACCATTTGTCTAAGACAACCACTTTTCTCCTCAACAATGGATGGCCATTTTGGAAAATTTCAACAGTATATGTGAAGCGTGCAGGCAAAATGAGTTCCCTCTCCGATTCAAGCCTTAAAGAAATAGATACATCACACACACGTGAAGCTCTTCCAATTCATAAGTATGAAATAATAAAAGACAGGTTATAGTTAAAGAACATGGCATCAATAGAAAATCTACAAATGTGCTCCCAACGGCGATGTTTGGCCAATATCTCCATTTGTGCTAGGCGAGAAGTAACTCATTTTGGCAGCACGCCTCACATATATGTGAGGCAGCGTGGTGGAATCAGGCTTTCGTCAATTCTTGGGCATGTAGAGTTATTGGTATCATCTTAAAGCTTGTTCACCTGTCTTTATTTTGATGAAAAAAGTATCCATTTATCTCGAATACAAGTTGAGATATTTGCGAATGAAAGGGGTGGGGGTCACCTGTTTTCAGAGATAAGATTAGTGAGAAAATGTCCGCCAAAGATTAGTTATTTCCTTAGCTTAAGAGTCCATGGTAACTGAAAATGTACATTTTTGTGCCTTTAATCAACGTTTTTTAGAAAAATCCATACAGAAATGAGTTTTTTAATGGGCATGAAAGGTGTTGAGTCAAAAAACAAAAATTTGAAAAAAATTCACAAACCTGTGGAAAAATGTAAGTTTCTTCACTTTGATTATTTTGACGACAGCCTGATTCCACCACGCTGCCTCACATATACAGAAAAGCTCACAAATAACGTGTCGTGATACTATAATTTCTGGCTATTTATTGCGGACAGACAGGGTCAGCAACGAGGAAGTGTTAAAAAAAAACCAACAAGAAAAAGCCCAGTCAGAGATGAGGTAGGAAGAAGGCGGTGGCGATGGATTGGACATACTCTCAAGAAGTCAGGCAGATGCATAACAAAGAAAGTGTTGGATTGAAATTCACAGGATAAAAGATCAAGGGGAAGACCATGTGGAACCTGCAGAAATCGATGTACAGAAAAGTGGGAAGACATGGAATAACATCAAGACGCTATCCCAGGATAGGGAAAGCTGGAAAGTGTTTGTTCGTGGCCTATACCCTGATCCAGAATGAGAAAGGTAATGATGATGAGGACGCACACCTTAAATTTAACCAACACAGGGACCATTTATTTGGTAACAAAGTGCACCACATTTTATACAGAACATGATAAATCCAACCAAAAAAATAGGAAGATTCGATCCTCATATTTCACAGAAAAGGTGTAGAGTAGCTTGACCCCCTCGCGGCCACTGCTAGTGTGCGGCCAGTTCTCATAACTCGCATTCCAGCTACTGTAAGGCTTTGAATAAACCACTGTAGCTTCTCTTGGGTCTGCCAATGCGTTCACTTTCATTTCCGGTCTTTCCCGCTGTTCCGACACACGTGATGCGAGTTTGAACTTTTCAACCCAGAAAACATCCCTTTGTGAAATTTCAAGTGAGTTTTTTTATTAGCTCTTACCACAACCTAAATATTATTATTTTGTCTACTAAGTGTGGTTTCTGCGTTTTAAAATGCATGTTTTAAAGCCTAACATTGTATAAATATCGCTCAAACGTAAGTTGTCGGAGCAACGTCAATGGACGCAGCCAGGGCAGGGTAATTTTTCATGTGGGCTCACATGCGGTCGAATCGGCCGCACCGAGGACGGGCTTTACAGTAGAGGTCCTAGCCGCGGCCAGAGTCCAAAATGATAGATAGCCCTGGTCAAATGAAGGCTACGGTCTTGAGATAGAATCTAGACCTTGATCTTGATAGAGGTAGGCTGTTTGCAAAGCTTTTTGTCCACTTAATAAAGCTAGATCTAGATCTGCTGGTAACGAAACAATACAATATTTTCAAGCATGGCACCGATCTCAGTGGCCTAGTGGTATGGCGTCCTTTTCGGGGATGGAAGATCGTGGGTTCAATTCCCGACCAGGTCATACCTAAGACTAAAAAAACTGGCAATCTAGTATCTAGATCTAGTAGCTGTCCCACCTGGCGTCGGCATTATGGGACGGGTGCTATGACGGTTTGGTCCGGTGTTAGTACACTGTGACTAGATGGGATAATAAGTTCTGTTACATTTCATATCCCAGTGTAACAGCACGTTAATTTGCCTAAATGACCTACTGGTTTTAATTAGAGACGTTAAAAGCCAACTCAAACAAAAACTCAAGTATTGCATGAAGTGAACACTGAACTATCCAAAAAAATGTGTTGTCCCAAGCAAGTCTCAAAATGAGTGGGAAACCGTAGGGGACAAAAGAAGCTTTAGACAATGTGTAACAAACAGTCAGTGAAGGGATGGGGAGATGCCAAGTCAATCTAAGACTGAAAGATCCCTTCGTTCTTCCTACTTCGCAACGCAGGAATAATGGCGGCAAGAGAAAGACATCGCTGGAAAACCTTCCATCGCTCATCAGTGGACAAGAATTCATATATTGACTCTTAAATCAACAAGGAGAGAAAGATCAAAAGGAAAGCAGAGATGGAAATGAGAAAAGTGGACAGAGTAGAGCCAAAATGGAAGAGGGGAAATGGAAGACGAGAAAGGAAAGAGAAAAACAGCGAGAGGAGCTAAAGAAGCAAAGTGGAGAAAGAAAATAGAAAGAAGATGCAAGAAGAGACTAGCCAAGGAGAAGGGGACGGAGAATAAGAAGAAGCAAAAGAAAAGAAGTCCAAAGTGAAAGGAAACAAATCCAAGAAGAGGTTGAGCGATTCAGACTATGATACAAGTGCAGATATCAATGAAAGTGAAATGATACTGTTTGATGAAGATGACCTGCAGTTGAAAGATTTCATTGAAGAAGAATTTTCGACTGAGGAATCCATGTTTGCTGAAGTGGGGGTTGTGGAAGGACATGAAACTCCACAGAGATGACACATGGACAATGAAACGCTTGAACTTGAAGAAGGATCAAGAGTTGGACCACAGACGGAGAGAAAGAGAAACAGTGTTGCTGCTGACAATGAAGGCATAGGAAACAAAAGACAAGTGGTTGAAGCAGAAGAAACAGAAAGAGCAGACATGCTTGAGAGTGATGGAGATGGGAACAAAAGACCAGTCGTTGGACTTGGAGTAGAACGAGAATAATATGCTATGCATGAGATGAATGAAGAAGAGGTGGAGGACTGCAACATGGTCAGAACTGGAAACGAAATGCCAGCATTGGCTGAAGCGGAAGGAAGGCCAGACACTGAATGAGGAGAGCGGGGATTCACTTGGTCAGCATGACGGTGGAGATCGTACCTTGAGGCCAGAGACGTGAGACTTGTCCGTTCTGCTCTTATCAAGAGTAGACGTTATCTAGATCTAGATCTACTATCCTTGCATTTTTTTGCATAGATCTACGCAGTCATTGATTTCCATTTTGTTTGCATGCTCTGATCAAAAGTAGATTGAATCTCATTTAATTTGTATGTACCATTCTTTAATTTTGAACCTTCCCGTTCGCATTCTGTGTCACTGATTTCCATTTCGTTTGCATGCTCTGATCAAGAGTCTGTTGAATCTCATTAAAGTTGAATGTAGGCCTACCATATTTCAAATTGCACCTTATGCATTTGTTATTGATTTCCTTCATTGTTTGTCATATTTTCAAGTGTTTGAAGCTTGTTTAAGGCCTGGCCGCATAACAGGTATGGATTCGGCCGCACCTAAGTCAGGTGGCCGCGTCGTTGGCTCGTCGTCGGCCGCACCCAGGGCTGCCGGCCGCCAAGTGGTACGCCGAAGTTGTGCAGAAAACACCCACTGCACTCTATACTTGAAGTCTTTTAATTCCCGGCCAGGTCAGGGCCCTTCCTGCGGCTTTTTTTTGCCTCGAAAATCAAGTTCAGAATCTCTTAGTGCAGAAGCAGTGCTAGCTAGTGGGGAATGCTCGCTCGTGGCCGCAAGTGGTCAAGTTACTCTACAACTTGTGAAGCGTTTGCTCAGCTCCCTCAGAAATGTACCTGAAGGGAATGCAAGAGATAAAAAACATGGAATCATTTTGATAGAACTGGGAAAGGAAAAATTTTATTTTTAATTTCTTCATTTAAGTGTTTTTACATTCCTTTTGACACAATTTAGATCATTTAGAAGACCCAACAGCCCAGCAGAAAGACCGAGATACTCTAAAAATATTTCCTTCCTATTCGAAAATTGAACTCCCGTTTCCAATGTGTGGCAGCGAATGGCCTAACCACTATACCACAGACACCGGTTCGAAAAAGAACAACAAAAAACACTTTAACTTACCAATAACAGCAATACCATCACAAGCAACAACCTGCAGAAAAGACAAAGGAAATATTGTTCTTTCATTATTTATTTTACGGTTGTTTCTTTTATAGTAACAATATCCTGTACAATGACTCTATCAAAAGGTCTCTCCTCAGCCAATCGAAACATGACTATCTGAGACACAGAAATTTCTCAGGAAGTGGCAGTATCAGTATAAGTATATTTCTTAGCCAAATACAGTTCCCTTTGTCTAGGTGATGTTGGAATAGAGAAGGCTTTTTTTACATATCAGGCATCACGTTTGGGTTAATTTACATTTTCAAAAATTTCACACAATACAAACAGTGTGCCGCCTGAGAAACAAGATCAGGGCTGCTAACTTAATCTGGAAGAAGAAAGAATGATATGGTGACCTCTTTAAGGAAAACACTGAGAATTGCTGCAAATCTTGAAAAACTAAAGAATACTGAGTGACAATAAGCATGGCTTCGGAGTTTTTGAATAGGGAAGGCTGTGCATAGAACACAAAATGAGTATCGGCCCAAAAGACATTTTTTTAAAATATTAGTCATACAAATAACATGCACACAATGAGAAGCATCAAGTTCCTTTATGTACAAGTTCTTAACGAGAGGAGCAACCCCCGAGGACCATTTTCTATGCTTGTTGCTCGAGGTCAAATCTAAGGAAACATATAAGTTACGCATAGAACAATCTCTTTACACGTACTTTTATTTTTGCATGGCTGCAACGGTTTCTATGGAAACGGCCACCATATTGAAAATAAACAATAAATTTAAAATCCCTAAGGCTTTCTTATTTACTGACCAAATTTGACCAAATTTGACCAAATTTGGAGAGAGTATACCTGAATCAGTCCCTATGAAGTTAACAGAGAGCATTTTTCAATAAGGGTACCCTCCCTCCAAGGGCAGTGCTACTGACAGAAGTGTCTTTAAGCCATTCCCAAAAGGGGGGGATATTAACATGTAATGCACAGTAGAATTGTAAGTAGGCTGATTTAATCAATGTCATGCTCATACTGCGCCTGAACAACATAGGGGTAACAACTGCTTTTTCTTTCCACATCCTTACTATCATCATTTTTCCTCTTCTTCTTTTGTATGTTTGTCACTCTCTTGTGAACTGCTATTTCCAGGGTGCCTTGATAGTACTGATAGTCGAAGCATACTTTATGCTGTTGAGGCTGGAGAGGTGAGCAGAGTAAGCCTGATTCCCCGTTTGGACTTTTCTTTGACATTCACCCCTTGGCACTCATATGACCATATGCAGTTGCGAGTGTCGTAAAACCTTACTAAAACTTTAATTTTTTAAAAATATGGTTAAAATTTAAAAAATATACGAGCATTTTCCTAATGTTTATAAACCTTTTCTAAATTTTGGTTGCGTAATCGCTTGCCAATAGAGAAGTGTTATTTTTTTCAGATACATCTCTCTGTCACATTGATAGTAGCCTTGCCATCTCTGTTTCCTGAAATTTTGATGTCAAAAGGATGAAAACTAAAGAAGGAGTAGGGGAAAAACAGCCCCAAAAAATGATACTTTGAGAAAAACGACAATTGTGAAAATCCACTACATTTTAACATGTTTTCAAAGGCAATTTTCGACGAGAACATTTTCTCAATTGTGAGGCAGCGTGGTGAAACCAGGCGCTCGTCAAAACAGTCAAAGTGAAGAAACTGGCATTTTTTCGGAGGTTTGTGAATTTTTATCTAATTCTTGATTTATGGCTCAACACCTTTTATGCCCTTTAGACAACACATTTCTGTGCGGGTTTTACTGAAAAACGTTGATAAAAGGCACAAAAATGTAAGTTTTCTGTTTGCACGGACTCTCAAGCTAAGGAAATAACTAATCTTTGGTGGCCATTCTCTCACTAATTTTACCTCGGAAACCAGGCAACCCAGACCTCCTTCAATTGCAAATAACTCACCTTGTATTCACCATAGATGGATATTTTTTTCACCAAAACGAAGGCAAATGAACAGGCTTTATGATTATACTGATAACCCAATATGCCCCAAAACTGACGAGCGCCTGATTCCACCACGTTGTGATACAATTGTGTCGTAGCTGTTTTTAGACAAAGAACGGGTTGACCTTCAAAAATCAGCTAACATCTCAATTCACATAGCTTGACCCAAAATCAGCCAAACGGATGGTCACTCCTCCCGTTAAACAGGTACACAAACGGTCATCTCTGAAACAGAAGAAAGAACCAAAAAAACTTGCCTTATCTCTTACACTCTCCTCGATGCACACATTTGCCAAGGTGCTCATAATAATGTCTGCTGTCTTGACTTTGTTCACATGTCTGGCTCTGTCCTCCAGAAGCTGCAGCAACAGTTTGATGAATCCACCCTCTATCAGTTGTTGCATGGCAGGGCGAGACTTGATGAGCGTGGAGCGCAGCATGATGAGGGCACCATAGAGGCTGCTGCCATGACCATTCTGAAGCTCAGAAAAGACCTTCCTCACTTCTTTATGAACGTCCATTGTGCTTGTCTATAAAACGAGCCCTATCACAAGGCAGATAGGAATCAGAGGAATAGCTGCATTCTTTCTGAAATTTACCCAAAAAAATTTAATTCATTTTTATGAGAACAACGAATCACACTCACTGAATCATAGACAGTTAAGTGACGGAGCTTTTTGCCTATATATCATTATTATCATTTACTCCAACTTTACAAGTAAAGCTATAGATAGTTATGACTTAATTGTTCTATACACTTATTCTAAAAATACCAAACAAGTAATTTAAACAATAAACGATACAGTGCAAAAGAACAGCAAGCAGTGTTTTAAAAAACCATCTAACTGTCTAAGAAGCTGTTAACATTCTTTTTCTCTAAAACGTACTAAAAACTCCTAAAAATGAAAATTCTAGCTCTTTAACCAAAGGGCAAAGGGAAATATAAAAATATTCTTTTAATCTGATTCAAAATCCATTGCAGTGTGATGAACCATGAAATGAGGCACTCGTCAAAATAATGAAATTAAAGAAACCAACTTTTTCCATAAAAATGAGCATTCTGCCAGTTTCGCTATGTGCATACTGAACAGTAATTTTGCACAAGGGAATGAGGCCCGGGCATAGACATTTGAAAATAAAAATAGAATCAAAATTGATAAAATGTCGTTTTATAGAAGACTGCTGCTTCAGGTCAATTGGACAAATAAAAAAACAAAAAAGTGTTTAAAAGAAAATTAAGTAAGTAAGTTTATTCAGTGTTTAAGGCCATTGGCCCACATCACATTGCACAAAAACATTCATTTGATAGATAATGTTTCCTTAATGAATAGGTAAAAGTTGTGCACATATCTCTTATCATGAGTCAAATATTGCATATTTCTGTCACTGGGCTGAGTCAGGCTGGGAAGAATTAACAATTTCCTTTGATGGACACTTTAATTGCTCATCCTGAAGAGTACCAAATTAATACATTCAAATAAGGAGACATAACTACGGCAATTAACAATAGTGAACCAAACACAGTTATTGCTCATTTAACTAATATTACAGGGATATATTACAGTGTACATCTATGCTGCGCACCTAATCTCATTATTATAAGGGTAATCGGAATGAAAATAAATCAATATTTGTCCTGTGCTGTCATTTGCTGAAAAAAAAAGAAAGTCATACAAGAAGCGTCTTGTCGGGCTCGCCATCATGACCAGCCAAAGTGATGACAATACAGCCTGAATGTTAGTCGTGGCTCTTCGGAAATCGAAGTGACTATTCGGACTCGAGTCCGAATATGAAAAAATGTTATTCAGACTCTGATTCTTGTCCAGCATGACATCACTGCCGACTTCCTGTGACTCGTGACTCCAGCTTCCTGTCCTGCCTCACTCGTGACTCGCCTCAGGCTGGGTAGAGACCACGATCACTTCGGGCAAAATGGCGTTAAATTGTGCAGGAGCCGAGTTTTTATCCTATGATGAATTTGAGGCCGGCCTGAAAAGTTATAGCGCTTCTAATAAATGTTCATTTGTCAAGAGGTCATCAGAAGCAATTAAAGATGGCTCGTTAGCGTGTGTCGAGGTCGGATGGGCGGCCTGCACACATGTGGCTGTGTGTGCGTGTCAGGGAGGGGGGGGGGGGCACTATCGGTCCTGGCATTGAACGTCGCATACGCGTCAGTCCCCCCCCCCGGCAACTGATCATTACAATAATAAGCTAGTCTTGACGTAGATTTACATAATGAATTGTGCGCTGGTCTATGGAATCAAAAGTTGCCGTATGCTTGGCTCTACATAGCAACACAACTTTTTCTTGGTAAAACAATCGAGATGACACAGGCTTGTGTATTTGAACGAATCTGTCTTTTTTTTTACACAGCTCATAATATGCAGGTGCCAGGTGATCTGCTAATCTTCAATTTTACCTTTTTCTACCACAAAGAAAGTGGGAAACATGGGGGGTGGGGCGGGGGGGCGTATCAATGAGGTGGCGGGCATCGGATCGGCAGATACAGTGTGGGGGAAACTAAAAAATGGCGGAAAATTGGAAGCACTGAACGTTAGATCTATAGAACGAAGACACTTCCTTTTTTCCAGACCGTGTCCGAATAACATTTTTTCATATTCGGACTCGGACTCCAGTCCGAATATGAAAAAATGTTATTCGGACTCGAGTTCGAATATGAAAAAACGTTATTCGGACTCGAGTCCGAATAATGACGGCCCTTCGGAAATAGCCTTTCCGTTTGTTTACATAAGAAATAAGTGATTGCTAAGGACAAAAGCGGCCATATAGGTTAAGTGAACCCTACCACATTAGCCAGTATTTTTCTACCTTTTTTGTATTAAAAATTTATTTTGGGCGGGTTAAACTTTGGTGGACCCACCGTGCTTACGTGTGTATTAAAATGTACACTAGCCATGGGGCTTTCAGGGGGGGACTTGCCCCCCTGATAGAGGGGGGGGGGAGTATGAGGTTTTTTTTAAAACCAAACTATCTTCACATTTACATGGCAAATTATCAATTGAAACAGGAAGGCAATTTCCAAAGAGCGCTTGTTAGTCTACTCAGCGCAATTTGTTGCGTAGGGTATGGGTTAGTCGAATTACTGTCGCTTGGCCGAGTATGAGTTTGGTGTGTGAATGAATGCGCAGTAACTACAAGCAAGTAAGTTCTCAAGAAAAAATTGTACATGCATCAAAGCAGAGCTAAACAAGGGAAGATGTATAGCAAGGAGTGGAACATTGCTGCAGTCACGAACAGGGTCAGGGTCATGCCTGACACTACTACTCAACTGGCAGAGGGGAAAGGGGGTACCGGTGAAAGGGGGTACCGGTGAAAGGGGGTACCAGCAACCACAAACGTGCAACACATTCTCAAACTCCTGTAACTTGACTTGATCACAAGGAGATTAAAAGTAATGGAGGATGCTCTGTGGGTGGCGCTGCACGCCTGATAGGAGCACTCTCTCGCAGCGGAACCGTGGGCTACCTGCGCTGCGCGATTGCCCGACTAAGGCACTGAAATCTAGATAAGAAAGAAGGTTCTATTCCGAGGTCCTTCAGATTAGCCAAGTCAATTAGTAAAAATGCCTTGCACCTGTGTTGTATTTAAGTGTAAGAACCGATATGATGCTGCAGTGGACCGAAGTTTTCACAGTTAAGTTGTTTCCCTTTTAAAAAATTAGAATGAAAGTGTTTCTATGCCCCCAGCAACACAATTTAAATCAT